AAGATTCATACCTTCGAAAAATAGTAAAAGTTGGATCAGGTAGGCCTCATCTGAATTTACATAAGGTACCAAATATGTCATTTATTTCGCGTTATGTGAAAAAAACCGAATTCCATATAAATGTATATTTTGCTTAAAATCTAGAAAGCTAGATGGAAAAGGGTATTTTTGTAAACGGTAGTGAATAGTTATATTGTTATGGAACAAAAAAAAATTCTTTTATTTCCACAACTTCCATTTAATTGTTCTACAATCCTTGTTATAGCTTCTAAAAGATACGCATTAGGATAATTTTTTTTTAATTTTGCATGATTGCATTTAATTTATTAACAGATGACAAGGATAAGACTATATGGACTAGTTAAGGTTAGGGAATCTATCAATTAGATTCATATAAGATACAAAATAAGAGGGCAAATGTAGTGAATATATGAGCTTGCCTTGCATCTGAATCTGCTGTTGCTGCTGCTGATCAGACCAGACCCGATAGAGGGCAAAATGGCTCGGTCCTCCCACCGCCAACCAGTCACCATTTCGGACTAGCCCAAGACTTTGTACTGGTGCAGGAAAAGTAATCTCACGGAGGCCACGATGACGGCCACGAACGCGTGCAATTTCAAAAAGCCATATAGAAGAACGATGGCCACGGGTCACTGCACATGCAACGAGATAAGTGTGGCCACCATGTGAAAAGCCACAGACGAATTGAGAGCAAGCTTTGATCTCAGATATGCGAATCGGCTCCAAATTCATGCCTTCAATGGCTCCAGATAGCACTAGCTTAAGATAACGACTCTTTTCTGATTGATATTTGCAGAAAGGCAAAAAAATAAAAAGATAGTAAAGGAATATAATTGAAGCAGATATGATTTTGTAATAGAATGCAAAAAATGACAAAAAAGTCCTACTGATGTGATTAAAATAGTAATATCAGGAGCGATGGCTAAAGGATATGTGTAGCAGCAAGGTTAAGCGCTACAAATACATCGAGAGTAAGATTTAATCTCGGGTGTATTAATTGGCTCTAGATCCATGAAATCAGAGGATGCATGCTTGAGATAACGACTCTTTAATAATTGGAATTTGGAGAAGAGAAAATAAACAAGAAAGAAAAAGTAAGTAAATGAAAAAGAAACGATTTTGTGATGAAATGTAATAAAACAAAAAAAATAACGCTTTTTTATTTGCAGTTATAACCACTCAAAGCAAAAAGAAATTACGTGGAAATGCACATTACGATGATCTTAAGTCAGTCGTCAAAGGATGAATTATTTTACAATGGAATCTTTCTATACATTTGCTAATTACTCTTCAAAAAAATTTAATCATTAAAGTCAAGGCTTAAATAAGTTATCGATGCCGGAGGGAGATGCGACAAAATAATATAAAATACTCTACTATAGCATTACGATAGTGGCAGCTCTATCTAATCAAACAGTGAAAATGTGTAGGGGAATAAGTTGTGTAATTGAGAAAAACAAATCCTACCCGCTTAGAAAGTGATAAGTTTAAAGCGAGTAAGTAAAGTGACACATCTGAGATCATTAAAATAAGCACAAGTAAAAGTAGCTGTGGTATTCTGATAAACATTATATGATTTAAAGACTGTCGTTTTGGCCCTAAACGCTTAAGTGGAGCCGTAAGATTAAAAAGTAATAAGATAAAATTATTTAATTCGATTCCAAAATAGTATAAAAGATAAATTTAATGGAAATCAGTGATGTACTTCTGAGCATTATTTTTATATCGATTTTGAATTCTAAAATGACAATAGTTCAAATTAATAAATTTTATTAATGCGCTACATTTTCCAGGCAAAATAAAAGATTAAAGCATAATTAGCATGACTTATTTTGTAATAGGCATTTTAAAATACATATATGGTATATTTATTTAATTTTTCTAGTCTTTGGTTTTACCTTGTATAAGATGCCAAATAAATCGACCATAATAAAAGTACAGAATACACCAAATCCACTGTGAGAAGTTATTAGCAAGATTATAAGGTTATATGAATGAGCGATAACACTAGCTTACTTAACAACATTACAGATAAGAGGAGGGACAAATCCGCATATGCAAGTACCTAAACAGAGACAGTATTGATTGTAAATATATGAAAAATGTAGGCCTTAAAATTATAAATGACTTGCTTGTAACTTAGAGCAGCGACTAGAAATGAAGTGAAAGAAAATAAAAGGATTCTAAGCAAGGTAGCCAATTCGAAAAATCCAATTAACACGTATGGGTAGAGAACTAAATTGAATGAGACAAAATAGGAGAATATTGTCAGACAGTCACTGAAATTTTCAACCCAAATAATATAATAAAATATCTAAAAGAAAACCAACAAACTCAGCTATTCTGACGTAAGTAAATATTTAGATGGCGTCCATGTATAGACTTAATGGAACAAGTATAAAAGTAAATTTTGGAAGAGTCCCAAAAAGCATGATCGTCCATCACAGAGAGCATTAAGGCAAATACCGTTTAGCCATGCATTGAGCGATCGAAATTATTGGGATAGCAAAATTTTTATTCAAAATGCAGCTATCTTCGGGAATGTTAGCTTCATGATCAATGGAGAGCCAAGAAAAATGAAAAATCTTTTGAGATAAAAGCTGAAGCGAGAAAGTACCAATTAATATGGAAATCATTTTGGATACATAGAGAGGGTATAATGAAAGATAATTAGGCATATTTCTTAGTTTTTCATTATAAGAAAGTTTTAAGAGGAGTTTTGACATTCAATAGCATAGCTTATAATAAACTACAGGTTTTTGATAGACTTTAGCCGACCTAGCAACAGCATTTTGCCACATTAAAAGTGTTGGACAACCTAGATAATGCAGTGATAAATCAAAATAAAATCGAACAATCTCTAGTCTGATAGCACCTTAAAGAAAGTATAGCAAAGACAATACGTCAATAAAAGCGATGATATATACTAGCGAATGAATGCATCCTCCCCGGAGTCCTATGCAATAGAATTTCTGACAAGATCCAGCGCTGGCATCGTTAGTAAGCCTTACCAGTCTTTGCAATAGACTACAACTCGCCGAAGAGATAAGTTAAGTCCGTCTCCTGCCCAATCATGTCAATCCCATATCTAATATTCGCTCTATTTGATCTAATTTGTTTTGAACAGTTCTGGAGATGTGCTGGTTTG